AGTATGGATCGTTATAGATCAGTAGTCTAAATTGTTGGATTAAAGTGCAGAAAGAATTTTCAAAGTAGAAATCTAAATTGATTTTGACGTTAAAATGTACAACAGTTTTGTTCTTCGATAGTGCACAGACAGCACCATCAACAGTACCAACAACGACAACAACAACAGCATTGACAGTAAAAAAAACTGGTAGTACTGAAAAATAAGTATAATCTGATTAACACTAATTTGTTGGTACTCAGATCGCCTAATTCCATTTTTGGCAGTCATCAAAAATTGCTTCAGAAGAAAAAGAGAAAAGAAAAGAAAAAGGATGAAAAAAAGCAACAAAAAACAAGAATATTACGAAAAAAAAAAAACAGAAAGTCACAAGAATTAATTTAGTTATGTATTTTATTTCTTAAAATATCAACTTGTGGAATAATAGCCGAAATGTCAGCAATAATTCACTGCAAATAGATGTTCTCTATCTCTTGATGTTTCCGTTTCTTTACACATCAAAAGTATACTGCTGTTTGTTAAGTTGATGACGTACGATAATTTTAAAGCAATTTATTGTAACTGAATGAGTCATTCAATTTTTCATCAGCGTTCAGGTTTAATTTAACAGTGACAATAGATTGGCAATTTCCGAAATCCTGGCCGTCAATTGCAGGTTATGCAAGCCGATGGTCGAGACATTGAGGTGGTGAAAAGCAGTAAAAAACTATGGAAACATCGATGTTGCTGTCGATTATTGCATGTCAAATTCGGTACCATATCCATAGGAGTTCTACATTTATTCTATTTTATTTATGAAGTAAATTCTTTTTTCTTCTCACTTTTTTCACTGTTTTATCAACAATTTATATCAACGGCATTTAAATTGCATTTTTTCAAACTATGGTTCAAAATGATTGTTTCATTTTCTGCTCCATCAATTTCTCAGAAAAAACCTTTAACACTGAAAAGGATAGAAAAAGAAACCTATAAAAAAATGATTAGATTTGCAGCTGTTTTCCACCGTATATCTCTTCAAGAAAACAAGCTTTCAACATGTGCTATCATTTTCCTTATCCTCGTTTGGTATACTGTTAGCCGTTATTGCTATATTTTTACTCTTCCTTGGTATTAAATTAGTAAGCCCATATTTACTGGTGCCCCACCTTCTTATGCAGGTAAGCTCTTTCTGATACAACACTATTTCTCTGCCACTATATTCCTTTCTTTTCTTCAATTTTTCCAGCAAAAAAAAAAAAAAAAAAACCTTTTGATTTTTTTCAGGTTGCTGCAATCTTTATACTGTGTGTAATGGGAATGTTCTGTTTATTCTCAGCAATCGCTGGAACTAGTTTAGATATCAAGTTAGCCGCTAATCAGTACAATTATTTAGTTCTTCACAGTATCGTTCTCCCAATTGTTTCATGCGCACTGTATCTCCTAAACTGTCTATACCTCCTGCTTGACAGATTCTCAGAAAATTAATATTAGTTTTTGATGATCATTTTAAAAGAAATGAGTTTCGCAGTGAAAATTTTCAGAGCAATTACTGTAGAAGACACGGCTGAAAGTTTGGCGGCTTTAAAATCCACTACTATTTCTACATCAGAACTCGTGCTGGTCACGAATGGCTTGACTTATATTTTGTCGATATTCTGTATTTTGCTTTTTTTAGCAGCACTTACCGAGGTTTCGTTTTGTTCCGTTCTCGGCTGTGTAGAAATTCAGTTGTAACCAATCAAATTAAATTTTGAAAAAAAAAATGAAATCATACCAAGAAAGCAAAAATAAAGCAATCCACGCTTGAATAGTTATGAAGATCAACGCAGTGCGATGTTCAAATATTATTATTGTTTTAGGTCTGGATGTTCACCGTCGTTCTCGGGTGCTACTTCTATCTGCGCGAAAAATCATTTGCAAAGACTTGTGAATCTGGCAGGATAACTCAGAATTTTTTGAAAGGCAATAAAACTCCAAACAACAGGGCTGGAAATTACAAGGACATCGATGTGAAAGAGCCACCGGGACCTGAACTGAATAGTAGGAACTTTATAAAAACTGCAGAAACTGACTGCTAAATTAGCTATAATTTTAGAAATCAACTACCGGAAGTCATGAAAATAACTGCTTGCTAGTCGTAATTTAAATCTGAGAGATGATTACAGATGATGTATGTATATAAGAAAAATTTTTGATAAATGGTGCCATATTCTAACGTACAGTCAAATATCCATCTTCCCAAAAATTTCCACTGAAGTTCTTGGACGAGCGTTCATAAAGACGCTGATTATTAAAGGAAACACCATCTACCGTTGTGTAGAGGGCTAATAAAGCTTAAAAAACAAATGAAAATGGTATTGAGGGTGTATCACATCAAAAGAACAACAAATAACAATAAATCCCCGCTCTTCCAATACCATCTGAAGAAAGGTTTCTACAAAAAAAGTGGTTCAACTTAAAAAACAACTACCAATGCTTAAGTGGGAGTGGTTTTGATAAATCTTTTTCTTGAAAAGCATTACACTCGACCTTGTTCAAATATTTCTTCTATTCCACTTCTTGCGTTTCGTGACAATGCTAATACGCTTTCTTTTCGGGGGACGTTTCATCAATCTTTTTTTAATTTTCCTAAATCATAAAAAGTAGGTTATGTGTCAGGAAAAGCCTCTAAGACCCGTAGTTTCATGACGCATGCCACATTTTCAAATTTAGAAATTAAAGTTTTTGAGCTCAGTGACAAATTTACTTAAGAGAGGGACCTATGCATACCTAGGCACTTTAGGCATCCTCAGAGTGTATTCAGGGACAGGATATCCGGCTTGCTTGATGACTGTGGCAATCGGTCTTATTAGCTGTAAATCGCTTTCTGTAAAATAAGTGACAGCTCGCCCTGGTCTCCCAGCTCGTCCTGCCCTGCCTGCAGCATTCCCAGTAAGGATTTAGATAAATTAAATATAAGGTAAATTTAGGTCATGCAAAACAAAAAGTAAGAGATCATCATTCACTAAAGCAAGCTTGAAGAGTAAATGTAGTATAAAAAAATAACAACCAAATCTCAAAATAAAGAAAACAATTATATAAAGTAACAGAGCCTATAGACTTGTTGCGAAACTTTTAAACAGAGAACAGATCATGCTCTACTGTTCCTTAGAGTACTAGCAAACGCTCTTTATCGAAAACAGTGCATTACAAAAGTAAACTTAAAAACTAACCCACACGATGGATGTAGCTGATAACTGAAGTTGGAAGGTCAAAATTTATAATAAGGTTCACACCTCGAAAATCAAGACCACGACCCATCAAGTCAGTGCAAATAAGTACCCAAATCTTGCCTTCACGGAACTGCTCTATAGAAATTTCTCTCTGAAAATTACACAGAGTAATTTAATAATAGTTTTGTATACAGAATTTAGTATTTCTGCTAAGTAAAGAAATCGCAAGCTGAACGATAAAAGTCAGAACAAAATTACAATGTTTTCAAAATGCTGCCATGTTCAACTACAAAAAAGTAAGATTGTCAATGAGAGCGCGATCTTTATAGCCAGAACAGTAAAACATATTGCCTTTCCTTCATCCACATCGCTAGAGATTAATGCTGCGGGAATATCTGGCCGACGACTCTGGATTTCAGAAAAAAGTTGGTATGCACGATCCTTACTCTGAATTTACCAAAAGGTAAGTGTGAAGTTCAAAATAGCGGGAAAAATAAGGTTACTTCTCAACTAAGGCATAAAACTTTTTGACAAGTAAAGAAGCTTATTGTGACATTACTATTGGAAAAGTAGTCTCAACTCGTTGTTAATGAATTAATGCAATAAGCTTTTACTTGTAGAAAGACGACAACTGGAGGCTCAAAGCCTTCACGAAATAAGGAACATAAGCTCGTTACTTTTCCTTGCTCACTGCCAGCAAACACAAGTTCCTGCTTTACAAGGCTTACTGCAGAATTTCTGAAAAGGATATAGAATAATTGTTTATCTAGGTATCAAAAGAAAAAATAAAGAAAAACTTGGAAGTCCAAAACCAATAAACGCAAAGAAGTATGAACATGACGTCAGAGAATAACATCAGAACATGATCGTAGCGTTTATCAAGCGTAAAAAAAACAAATGAAATTAGTAACAGTACCTAGCGCCAACACAAACTACTACTAAGTTATCCAAATTAGTCTTGCACCAGTCTTCAACTTCATATGAATAAGTGGCACTAAAGAATGCATGATGCACGAATTTACTACGTTTACACGCCTGGTAGACTTTAGCAAGCTGCAAAAATTAAGGTCACGAAAAAGCAAATAAAATACCCAAAAACAGATCATCAGGTCTCTACAACAAATCAGATTTCTACAAAATGCGATCAAAGACAAAAGTAACAGTAATTTAAAGAATATTTAACGCAAAACAGGACAAATAACCATGATCAATTACTTGATTCCTAAAGCATCGATCTTCCCCTTCTGTAGTTTCAAACAGTCGATCACCCTCATCGATAATTAGCCATTTTAATTTGCTAAGAACCCTACACGATTTTTCCGCCAAAGCAAAATTCAAACGATTCGGAGTAGAAACTAGTATATTAACTGAAAAAGAAGCAACTGATATTGTTCATAGTGATTATAACAACCCTTACAAAAAAAAGTCGAGAAAAAGACCAACAAAGTCAGAGTTTTGCTCCCTGATAAAGAAAACCACTGTTCAAGGCAGTGATACACAGTGATAAATAACGCTTCGGTGACTACAACAGAATATTCTTAAGCTTAGATAATCGTAAAACTGAACAACTGTTTTGAAGTAACTGGTAACAGAAGTGCCAAAACTGTACGACGTACTGAATAATCTTGTCACCAAAGGTAACTTAATAAAACTGCTTTACCCGTACAGTTTGACAAAATATGGTCAAATAAACAATCAAATAACACTTGCTTTCCCTACATCTGTGATATTAAGCTGTTATGACCCACAACAAGTTACTGCCCCTCAGAAAAACATTTATAACAAAGACTGCAGGCCAAATTTCAAAGTACTGTCCTGCTGCATTATTTTCACTATTTCATTAATATAAAAGCATAATAACTTTTTAGAAAGAAAGATGTAATAAATGATAAAATAAAAACTTAATACCAGAAAAGTCACTATTACCGTCATCAAAGATACTGTTATCTTCTAGTACAGCACATTTGACAGGAAAACCTTGAACAAATTTCAAGAACTGCACATAGACCTGTAAAAAACTTCTAAGCACCAAAAAGAAAAAATTTTCCTCTAGATACAAAATTACTGCATGGACACATAAATTAGGCCCCAAACGCCTAAATAGAGTGACCAGTGTCAACGCCTTTTTGAAGAACAATTTCAGACTTTTAATAAAAAACAGCAAAAAAATCAAACCCACTTGTTTCGCAAGTTCTTTTGTCGGCTCTAAGATTACAGCAATAAGGTAATTCTTATCTTGGTGTCTCCGCAAACGCTTTAAACGTAACACTTCAAGAATAATGGGAAGAGCGAAAGCAAGTGTTTTACCAGATCCTAAAACAATTACAAAAGCAAAAATTATTCCAGCAAAACCTTGAACGAATTTCAGAAACTGCATGTAGGTCGGTAAAAAACTTCTGTGCAATGGGAAGGAAAATTTTCTAGTAGCCCCCAAAATTATTGCAACAAAGACACATTTAAAAGAAAACAATAAGTTTAATAAACTTTACCAAATCTGCCATTTGGGGATATAAATAGTCCACTTTTAAATAAACACCCCATTGGCGAACTTAAATGAAAGCGCTACTTTTCCAAAAACAGTTTAAATTTTAGAGCCAAAAAAATTAAACACTGCCAAAGATCAATCCGCTAAAAAAATCTCGATTGTTAACTAAAAGTCTAAGATAGTGAGACATTTAAATATCTATTGAAAACCGTGCAGTAATACCTGTAGGAGCACTAGCAAGCAATTCTCTTTTCTCCAACATCAAAGGTATAGCCTGATTTTGAATTGGAGTTGGTTCTGTTATGCCAAATTCCTTTAGATTATGAAGAATACCCTCTGGAATCTTTTCAATGTCGGAAAACTTCTGAATTGGTTCCGGAATATCACCACCCCAGGTATAAATATGATTCCGCTTTCGGAAGAGTCTTATCTTTAAAACTCCAAATAAATGAAGAAAGAAGAGAGAAAGTCTGCACAAATAAGATTAAAGCACATAAATCCAAAAGAAAAACTGCAAAACCTGTGGAAGAATTCAATCCACCAAAATGACAATTTTAGAAATACAGAAAGAGTAACCAGAAAAACTTTCTATTTTTAGGGAAGGTCATAAATAACGCCTACTTCTTCCTTCCTATCAGATTCAGCCCTAGCATCTGAAGCTTCTTTTCTTTCCTCCCTCTTAATCTTTCCGGTGCTACTGAAGACTGGAATTTCTAAAAGTAATTTCCTAAAACTGTTGACAAAAGTTTAGTAAAACAAAACTGAAATAATTCACCAACTAACATAAAAATCACTAGACAACGGCAAAAAAATTCAGAGTCTTGCCAAATGCCAATAGTGACATTCTTTTTTGACTCCTGTTCCGTTAAGTTCAGCTTTTTTATTTCATCAAGATTTGGAAGAGTGGACTCATCAGGGAATCAAATTTGGTTTGCCAGAAACAAGCGTAAATTTAGCAAAAAAGTTTATGGCTTATGAACAGATCATATCCTTATTAACTTTTTATACCAATTTAAAATAGTAATTTGCAAAATTGAATTAAAAAGAGAACAACAAAATTATAGAAGCCGAGGAATAACGTCAACCAGCCCCAAGATCAGACCCCAACTAGCCATTTGGCACTTTGTTAATTCCTCAAAATAGCCAATAAACCAATTATCCAGCAACAATCAGATTCTCAAACTATATGAACCCACATACTGTACCAAATCACATTGGTTTCCAGTAATTATTAAAACTTATAATTCTATAAAAAAAATCGAGCCCTCCTTCCATAAAATCAGTAAAATTCTGAAGATCTTGATTAGGCCACTCGGAAAAGCTGCCGAGTTTTTTAGTAATGTTGTTAATACTGTTAAAAACTAGATTCTTCCTACAGAAAGTTTTTTTTCCTCACCAATTTCGTGTATTTTAAAAAGTGCTGATGTCCAATCTTACAAATCTATTTCCCGGTAATCATCAAATAAATAAATAAGCAGAACCTTCGAAGGGGGATTCAGCAATTTTTTTGTCAGAGGAAAACTCTGAATTTTCGTTGAGGAAAAGATTTTCATCTGCACCAGAGGTTGTTGCGTCTTCATGAGATGAGGGGCCACTGGTATTACCGTTCACTGAAAAGATCATGATTAAGAGGTTACAAGAATGGCAAACACTTCCATTTTCCAATTTGAAAATTTTTTCTAATTATTTAAAACAGTTCCTTCTTACTCTCATTAATACCTCAGACTGAATAAGTGTTAGAAAACTGGATTTAGAATTACTATAAAAATTTCTTTTCATTGTTGTTCACAATTAACACAGGTATCACTAAGGTTTTTCGCTAAAGGATTACACAAATACCAAAAAAATTTCCATTTCAGTAAACTAAAATCAAACCATACGCAAACAGGAACAAAAGATTAAAGAATTACAACCTTCAGTGTTTGTCTTTCCTAGACGTTTTCTCTTGAGCCCAAAAGAGAGGATTTTGTAAGCGCTGTCCATCTTTGCCGTAGCTCATAAGCAGTGAGCAAATACCTATGGAAACAAGAACTGTCTTAAGCTGAATGTACCAAAATAAAGTGCTAAAAGCCTCGATTCTTTATAAGGAATCAGCCAGTTTGTCTGCATTGCATGCATTTTGGCCTACAGTTCCATGTCGCGTTTCGCTGTAGCTGAAAGGGCCAGGATTGGCTAACTTCCGACTTCTCGCTATTATGTTCATTACTTTTTATGGCTAAGTTAGCTTTAAGAAATTTAGACTTTCTTCCAAGATTATTTTTCGTCCATCTTCTTTGCTTCTTAAGTCAGACAAGGTTTTTGCGTTTATATCCTGCTCTAAGTGAAGCCTAATAATTTTTTCTGTGAAGTTATAACTTAATATGTGGACCTTGTAGAGCTTTTTGGATAACGTCTACCATTACGTCAGTCGAAGAAGGAAGAAATGAAATGCGAGACTCCACCTGCTGTTTTTTTTAAATTGTGCTAAATTGTTTAAAATCTGTGCTCATTTGATTTTCTAGCTTTGTTCAGTCTCTAAAAGAATTCATGCTGACCGTGGTAGTTTACTACTGAATTGCTCGTAATGTAAAGACTTAGAGGACGTGAAACAGTAGAAGAAACATGAACGCTGTGAAATCTCGGATATGATTATAGTCGGAGTGGATATTGGGAAGAAAAAAAAATTTAAAGTGGTTTAGATGTTCCAGTGCTGTGCGGTT